CGTGGCTGTAAACCCCTTTCTACTCAGCGGTACATTTCCGCATCCTATTCTTCTGCAGTTGATTTTTAGACCTAAGTACAATAATCTGCATGCCTTCATGAAGTTTCCTTTTCAATCTTTTCAACTCCTGCTTCCAGCGTTCATTCTATTATCTACCCCCTCAGCTTTGTGTTGAGCTGAAAATTTGATAAACATCCAAAGCAGTGTTCTTCACTTTTTAACCAATGTTCCCTTATGTATAAACATCTCACTATCTAACTTCTGGTGTACTCCTTTATGGAAGATGACACTCTCCCCAGCTCCAGCTAGAAGGTTCTAGCATGATGCAGAATTTATACCTCCTGTATATACACACTGGAAGAGAGGATTTTTGTTAAACTTTACTATTGTTGTCTAAATTATGTATACTCCTAATTTGTCAAACACACAATTGTTTTATAATATAAAATGAGCTTTTTCAAAATAACACCCACAACTGTGCCAAATATACCACACAAAGATGTTAATGAGAGGGGAACTGTGTGTGTCAGGCGTATATGGGAACTCTATTATCTTTGAGACTTTTCCATAAATCTAAAACTATTCTAAAATGAAAAGTTTATTTTTACTTACAAAAAAAACACTCACAAAATTCTGATGTGAACTTCTAGCCCCAACCTCATGCTCAAACCCAACTACATTTGAGAATTAGTGATACAAAAAATAGTGGTCAAGGTCTCTGGTACATCTTTAGAGCATTTTCCCCTGAGGTGACAGTGTCTACGGGTTTGCACTGAAGTCAGACAGGCCTGGCATCAATTTCTGGCTCTGCCACTATCTAGTTGTATGATGTGGGGTGGTTAACTAATCGTTCTGAACCTTGTTACCCAATACTTCAATGAAGATAATAAGACTTGACGATTAAATAAGCTATTACATGTCAAGCAGGTAGCACAGTGCCTGCCCCATAGTAAAATAACCATTATCAATACTGTCATTCTTAATGTCTCATCCTGAAATGAAAAACACAGTTACCTCTATCATCATCTAGCCAACATTTTCAGATCTTGTCCATATGCATATCATGGCTGGCTTTGTTAAATCGAGATACAAAGAATCCCTCTCCCCTCTCAGTTTGGACAATGAAAAAGGACTCTAATGATTCTGGTATCAGACAGGTCTGAGGGAAAAAGCCTGTGTGTGGACAGAAAACCCAAGTTAAAGTCCAGCTCTCTCCTATACCTTATGACCTTAGGCAAGTTATTTAACACCCTGAGAATTTTCTCATCTGTAAAAATAATGACAAAACAATAGTTGCCCTAGTCCCCCAGTATCCTGGAGAAGACCACATGAAACAATTAAAGTCCATAAAATTGCTTTGAACTATTGAAATCATTAATAGGTTTAATATGAACTATATTTAATAATCATTATTATTTGTTATTAAAGAATTTTTTTCCAACTAATCATTCCTTTCTGTTAAAAATGGGCTTAGAAGTCTTCTATGGAATTTAGCTGGAGAATAACTCTAAGCTCTTAATTCTAGAGTTACTATAATATACGATCTGCTCTGTCTAAAAAGTATTACAAATTTTGCAGAGCCCTAGTTTTATAGCACCTCCTTTAATCCCTCACTTGGACCATGGGTGCAACTTTTCTCATTTTCAGGATATGTAACTGAGCAAAATTGGGTGCCTGCAATTCACCTGAGCGGCTCCGGAGTTATAATCCACTTTGCCGTATGGTCTTCTTACTTAGAGTACAGTTGCTCTTTCTATGTGTGCTACTCAGGAAGAGTCCTCTTGTGGGGCAAGGTAGACTTGAATTTGATACCAGTTTGCTTCACAAATACTTGAAAATGAAGAAAACAATAAACATTGTAGGGATGGCGTTGAAGTTAAATATCATTTTGGTGGTAACAACAGATAACATTTATTGAACCCATCCATTTTATTAAGCTATTTACATATATTTTTTTGTGTAAATCTTGAAGTAAGAAGTAGGACTCAAGACTATGAGCTTTCCATTTATTAAAATTTCAATTCTGAGATTTTCCTCTCCTTGGGTTACCTCTTACTTTTCTCTCAGAGTTTTTCAAACTTCTATTCTATCAACAACCCTTCCTACTGAGATTTAGGCCTCAAGTAACAGTTATCTAAACCTCACTGTATTTATTAACTTATTTATAAGTTAAATTTAACTGTAGACACATTTACTAAATTGATATAACATTTTAGTGAGGTCAAGATAAGCAGAATCCTTGTACGTTACATGAATATACAAAAACATAAAGTTGTGTTTTTCTTTAAAAGAAAAGGGTAGAATGGTTTTAAAGAAAGATTTTTGAGAGCGTTGGATAAAAGCATAAATCCATTACAAGCTCTTACAACAGATGATTGCTTCGGGCTTGATATTTGAAAGCCCAATCTACGTTACACATTTTAACTTCTGATGACACTAAGTGTGTATTGATGTGGGAGGAAATGGGATACATTCGAGGCCTGAAGGATTGAGCCAGGAATCAATAAGATATGCCCAGTGACTTGCACCATACATGCCCCATTGGGCTCTGTCTTCTGTGATCACTCTAACCAAGAGAAATCATTTTTGTTCAGGAATAAGACACCCTTTTCTACGGCATTCTAACTTTCCTTTTCAACCTTGCTGGATAATAAATGTATGCTGACATGCAATATCTCTCTCTCTAAAAAAAAATCTCCTTTCCCTTTGCTGTACTAATAACAAAATTCTCCAACCTGGTTAAAAAAAAATGCAGTATTCATTTCATCCTTGTGATCTTTTTTCTTATAATAATAAAAATTCAAGATATCTCTTTAAAAAGAAATTGTACTTAGAATACACAGAACCCTTTTTCTTAAGGAGATGAGAAGAGGAAAAACATATACTCACACCACGTGATACACTGTAAATAATTAATTTTGTAAATATTGCCTTCTGTACATATAGTTCATGTACAGAAATACAGCTGAAATACAGCTGAGCAATGACTAGATGCAGAGGTTATCTGTTGTGTAACTGAGTCATATAAAAATCTGCTTCACTCTGCATAAAACAGTCTATCTCATGAAAGAAAAAATGCACACTATTTTCTAGAAGATTAACTTCTCATAATGAATGTTACCTGGCCCCTGCTGGTAACTGTGGTAGTGATGAACAGAGGTCCACCTTCTAGACAGCTGAAGGCACTGCCTTTACCCAGGTGGATTGTGGGATTGTTGATGGAGTGAGCTGTAAATTTATGAGAGCTCCAAGGATGAAAATCTCTAGCTCTAGCGATGGACTTAAATGGACCCAAATTATAACTCTGAGACTTACCATCTCTTTGGATCAAATATATTTAAACTTTGCTGCTTTAATACCACAATTTTAAAATGATCTTTTCTTTCAATAATGAAAGAAAGTGGTTGAGAGTAAACAGAGTTGATGAATTTAAACTGAATTGTTTAAGAATAATAACTGTCTAGAGAAAAAAAACCACCCCACATATTCCTGGAAGTTTATTTGCTCTACTTTCCAGTATAAGTCATCTGATTCATAAAATGCAATTGAAATTACCTGAATATATGGGAAATGCAACCTTGATCTTCACAGAACCATAAATCTCCTACCGAGAAAATACTGTGTATCTCTGTAAAAGCAGCTACCCGAAACTTTATGCAGATTTCATGCATTTGTCTCCCAATAATTCTCAAAAGAAAAACAAAATTTGTATTTTAATAACGTTGGGATTATTTTCTTTCTCCAAGCAAATATAAACTTACTTTGAAAATATATGCTAAAAACAGCAAACTACACATTTTTCCGAATTGACTGAACAAGCTAGCCAACTGCCAGTACAAGTATTGCCTCTGATGGGTTTTATCCTAACCAGTGGGAATAATCTCTTGGGCCATCCTTCTTAAGGCCAACTGGGGGTCAGCACTGATCAAGACACGTAGGGCCTTTGTGCCTAGAAGTTCCCACCAAAAAATCTGGAACATATTTAAAAGATAAAAAATTGAGGTCAACGTAGGCGAAAATACCTAAATTGTCAAAGAAGTGAAGCAACAGAGATACATAAAGACTTACTCCTCCATTTGTCCAAAGGAACTTGGAATATTGTATAATAAAGGATACCACAGGATGAAAGGTCATTACAGAAAGAACAGAGAATAATGCATTGATAATGGAACTTAACTTTGGGAATGAAAGTTCACCACATAGTGATAGTGGTCTTATCAAAACCAGTAAAGGAGAATGTAATCCATTGTTATTAAAAGCTCATGTCACTGGCATACAGAGCTATGTAGAAACAGAAAAATAACATAGTCACTCCGGACCAAAAATGTATTTAAAATAGGGACCACGGATATCTCATCAGTCAGTGAATATATTATAAAATATTGACATTTCACATGGAGTAATTTGTAGCTGTTGCTTTTTCTTTTCCTTTCTTCCCTCTCTTACTTTTTCTTCCCTTTCCCCCCAAGCGTGTTTAAATCATGAACTTCCACAGGAAATCACATGTATTACATTTTTGAGGCTCATACACTCCCCAGCTGTATAAAACATCCTTATCTCTGCATGAAAATACAGACACCATTTTAGGGTAGGATAAGTACATTTTGCATATAAGTTGTATTTCTGAAATACTTTCTTTTTCAGGCCCCAAATACCTTTCCTGTCAAGACAGAGCAGCAGTGTTTGGAAAGCATTAGCACACCAACAGATGCTCAAAATCAAATGACTTAATAGGCAGAAACTTTTTTTTTTCCAATAATTGCAAAGCTTTGGTCTAGCCTTTTGCATACCTTGCATAGTTAATTGCCTAGGCCTTAATGTTTACATGCAATGAGAGTATCTACAGCTATAAACTACATAATTTATAATTGATGTAAATGGGTGTTATTATGTCAATTAGGCAGCTGTGTCCTCCACCTCTTGGTAAACAGCTTTGAGTGATAAACTGAGTTTGCGGAGAAGTAACCTTCCTTTCTTCATAACAGATAAAAATAAATTACCTAGGTAGACCAGGCTGTCCAATTGTTCTCTGGTGAGGTGGATGGAAAATCCAGGCCCTTGCTTTTGACCTGTTGACAGCAGCAAATGGTCAATTTCGTCACGCAGCACTGCCATAGCTTCTGGGTGCCGTAGAAGGTAATACATCGCCCAGAACATAGCTGGAATAGTGTTCGCCACGGAGGCCCAGAGAAAGCCTAAATGATGTGCTGGGAGAAAATAAGTGAAAAGGAAGATTAATAGCATTTATTACACTGATTAGATTTGCAGTGTGCTAATTAAAAGATGTTAGGACACAGACCCAGCCAAGGATCAGTGCATGCTAATGAGGACCAATAGGCTTCTGAAGTCTAATTTTCTGCTTAATGAGAATAGTTTAAAATGTAATGTGTGTGTCTGGGGGTAGGGGGGTGGGGAGGTGAGGAGGTGGGGGATGAGATAAGAGGAGTAAATGCAGCTTGGTTACACTCTTTCTCATTATCACCACTAAGTATCTTGTTTTACCACCTCAGCAAAAAAAAAAAAAAAATCAATTATCACAGAGGGTTGTTTCAGAGTAAAACATTTTATCATTAGCCAATTAGAAAAGAGCATAAAAATTTTCAAGGTCGCCATTTTGCCTTTTTATTTCAAAGGTCTGATGTAAATTATTCTATTTTAGATAAGTAATCCTTCAGAAGTTTCTTACCTCCTATTTCAACGTCCTTGAATGTATAATATTTCTGCAGGATATGTTGCCTCATTTGAACAATTTCTGACCATCCCTGTATGTTAGCTAACTTTTCTGATGTCAAGCGTTTTATGAGTTTCTTCTGAATAGACTTGGTATTTCCTAGAAGCTCAATGGGTACATCTGATATTAAATGTACGAATTTGTTATCAAATTTTAAAAAATCATCTTTAAGTTCAGTAATAAGTTTCTTCCTATCAGTAGCAAGGAATTTTCCATATATGGTTGCAAATGTGGTCTCAAATACGGCCGAGGTGCAGAATGTCAACAGGTGTGTCACATCCCAATTTGTGGTTTTAAATAGGTGGGGTTCAAAAACTTCTTGTAGATTCTGCATCATGTTTTCCATCAGTATGTCCAACGATTTCCCTTGTAAAAGTTGATAGCAGTCATGAAGTTCATTGTTCAGGTCACTGATAATGTCCATTTGGATGGAAAATGCTTTCCTTAATATATTCTTAATAAACATTTTAAAGCTTAATTTGTGATTTTTCATCACGAACGGGTACTGGTAAGGATCCAGAATAAATGTTATGTACTTTCCTAAAAGAAATAAGAATATGAGCTCATTTGGTAGCAAAACAAACAGCCCATCCCCCAAATTTTATCTATTTTAATTAAAATTACAAAGATCTTAATAACTAACATCTGAAATGGTGCAAAGTTCAATAAAAATCCATTTCATGCAAAGGTCCACTACATGTTTCCTTTTAAAATGGAAGATGGTGGGAAAAACTCTAGAAGCTTGAAGTTAAAAATTCTGAAATTCTTAATGACATTTTAAAAGAGCATACTCTTCAAATTTCTATTTTAACTAAGTACCCAAATATTTAAATTACTCTTTAAATAATCCTCAGAATCCCTTGACTTAAACACTTTTCATACTTTTTCTCCAATAACACAAACAAGAAACAAACAAACAAATCAAATTGGTAAGATGCCATTCCATTACTGATTATTTACTTACACTTCATAAAGAGCTTTTTCATACTGGGTATCATCTTAGCTTTGGTGGGATACAATAATTTTAACTCAAATAAATGAAGATATGGTACGAAGTAGGTGCTCACAAATGAATGCCTAATTCAACTCTAATGACAAACCACAAATGCCAGCATTTTCATTTTGATAGATGAGAAAAGAGTGGCTCCGGGAGATTTAGTCACATGTCCAAGGTCACGTTGTGATTTGTAACTGAGATAGGATTCCAAATTAGAACCTGTCCATTCATACATTCATTCATACAGTCATTCAAAATTTACTGAGATACAGACACTTGGTTGGATCTCTTTCCTCTTGAGATATAAAGATGCAAAGAAAACATTGTATCATAT